CCCCAAAACCCCAAAACCCCAAAACCCCATAAAATTTAAAATTGGAATTATGATGGATATGAGGATAATGAAATATCATAATATTTTATAATTGTTAAAATGGATAAAAACAAATCAAAGAGATCTCTATCAAAGAAAAATATTGTCGCGTAAAATAACATACCACTTCTCTAGCCAGTTTAAGATGATGACTATTTCTAAGTTTAAAGAGTAGTCAAGCATATTTAGCCTCCCAAGCCAGAGACTGCTCCTAATAAAATTTTGGCCTCTCTATTTTCATCTCCTCAAATTGATAAAATTTCAGTATCATGGATAAGAGAAAGAGCCATTAATTTCATGAAAGTGCTAGGAAAGAGAAGGATTAATATGATTATGTTAAGAAGTTTGTCCTTTAGAGGTATCCCACAAGAAATACCAGGACTAAGACCGATTGTTTGGAAAGTATTGCTAGGATACTTACCTAGAGAAACTAGCAAATGGGAACTATTCTTAAAAAATCAGAAATAAATATATGAAGATTGGAGGAAAGAACTTATTGTTGAGCCTCATCTTGTAGATTCTTAGAATTTTTTAGATCATCCACTAAGCATTAATAAGGAATCTAAATGGAGTAAGTTCTTTAATGATTAAGAGTTATGGGAGGAGATTGAAAAAGATGTTCGTAGGACTCGCTCAGACATGACATTCTTCATTGAGGCAGTTCAAGACAATTATAATCACTTAAAAGATCAGCTTAAAAAGTAAGCAGAAGTTAAGAAAAGCCATCTGCATGGAGAAATTAGATTTAACTACATTGAGACACATTCTGATGTACTTGCTCGAATCTTATTCATTTATGCTAAACTCAACCCAGGTGTAAAGTACGTCTAGGGTATGAATGAAATTTTAGCTATCTTGTACTATTGCTTCTGGTAGAGTGACGAAACTTTAACTGAATACTTTGAGAGTGACTTATTCTTCTGCTTCACTAATTTAATGGCAGAGATAAGAGATGGGTTTCTTCGTACCATGGATTCAGAGAATACAGGAATCAATGGGAAGATAAGAATTTTTGCTGAGCTTATGCAAAAAGTTGATCCAGAGTTGCACAATCATCTAACTGAGTAAACTGTTAATCCCTAGTTTTACTCTTTGAGATGGCTCATGCTATTGTTGAGTTAAGAATTCGAAATACATAATGTTATAAGACTATGGGATACTCTACTTGCAGATAATGAAAGATTTTGGTTTTTAAATTATGTTTGCGTTGCAATGGTTTAGATTAAGAGAGAAGCTATTTTAGCAGGTGATTTTTCTGAATGTATGGAAGCATTATAAAGACAAAGTTAAGAATCAGATCCCAAAAAGATTCGATAATTACTTGATTAAGCTAAGAAAATCTGCTAGATTCATACTAGAAAGTATGACAATTATATAGATAACAATGGTTAGACATTTCTATGATTTTGAAGTACAGCCTAAACAGTTGGATAATGAAATTATTTATCAGATTGATTTTTACTAGATATTATTTAAGGTTAACATTTAAATATTGAAGAGTATGGGGTTTTGGGGTTTTGGGGTTTTGGGG